CATATCTCTTCAATATCGTACTAGAAGTTCTAGCTAATGCTATAAGACAACAAAAGGAGATCAAAGGGATCCAAATTGGAAAGGAAGAAGTCAAACTGTCTCTATTTGCAGATGATATGATAGTTTACATAAGCGACCCAATAAACTCTACCAGGGAACTCCTACAGCTGATAAACACCTTCAGCAAACTAGTAGGATACAAGATAAATTCAAAAAAATCAGTAGCCCTACTTTTTTCAGATGACAAAGAGACAGAGAAAGAAATCAGAGAAACATCACCCTTTACAATAGCCACAAGCAACATAAAGTATCTTGGTGTAACACTTACCAAACAAGTAAAAGACCTATATAATAAGAATTTGTGACTCTAAAGAAAGAAATTAAAGAAGATACCAGAAAATGGAAAGATCTCCCATGCTCTTGGTTAGGTAGGATTAACATAGTAAAAAAAGACAATTTCTCATTTCCTCTTTAAGGGCCTCTGTCATCTTCATAAAGTTATTTTTAAGTTTGTTTTCTTGTGCTTCAGGTGTGTTGGGATGTTCAGGCCTTGCTGTGTTATGGTGGTGTCAGATTGCCCTTGTCATTGAATGTGTTCTTACAATGGCATTTAGGCATCTGAATTTGGGATTATTATAGGTCTAGGTGTGATTCTTGCATTTATCTTTGTTGGAAGGGTGTTTTGTTCCTTGTTTTTCTGTTTCCTCTCTTGTCTTCTGGCCTAGATGGTCAAGGGTTCTGGTAACTAGCAAGCCTTCAGATCTAGTATGGTGACTCTTCTGAAGTCTTTGGAGCCTTGAGGGCCTAGATCCAACCTGGTCTTGTGTAAAGAAAAAGTCTCCTTCTGTAGTTGTAGACTAGAAATGGAGCCCAGTGGAGGAGGTGATAATCTTATGACTGCTGTGGGCTGTACCTGGGCCTATGGAATCTGCAGGGGTTGTAGGGAAGGGCTAGCTATGAAGAGAATGATGAGGTGGGTGGGGCTGGGTCTTAGGGGAACACATCCAGTGTGTGGCAGCAGTTCAGCTGGCAGAAGTGGTCACTCATCTGGTCAATGGATGGTGGGGACTGCATCAGAACAGCAGAATTCCACTAGAGTTGGGGGCAAGGCCCAGCAGCCATGCTGGCACTGAAATGGGGTGGGGGTGCACAGTATGTGCACTGGGTCAATCTGCTTCTTTATAGAACCCAGACCTCCAGCCCAGGGCTGGCACCACTCATAATGGGCTACACCCTTCCCCACTGATCACTAATTGAGAAAATGCCTTTCAGCTGGATCTCAAGGAGAGGGCATTTCCTCAACTGAGGCTCTTTTCTCTCTGATGACTCTAGCCATTGACAAGCTGACACACAAAACTAGCCAGTACAGACCTTCATACAAATAAATATACACATATAAATGAACACACACATACACGGGGAGAGGGAGACTTACAAAAGTACTCCCAAGAAATAAAAATTCCAACACTGCATAATTTTTACTGACTTTAAATTACCTGAAACTTCCCATGAGGTAAGCCCCATGCTAGAGACAGAGGTAAGTAATTAACAACCCTTCTATCTCACTAAGGATACATATTGGAATCATTTGTATAATGTATTATTCATCATGTTTGAAAAACTGCTCTTCTCTGAGTATGCGTGTCTGTCTGCCTGCCTGCCTATGTGTCTTTCCTTGAGACTACTTCTCTGTTCTGTGACTCTATAACTAACATTTCCCTGCAAATGTGTGTGTGTGTGTGTGTGTGTGTGTGTGTGTGTGTGTGTGTGTTCATACCTATTGCAAGGTATCAACCCCCAAAACACAAAGTCACTAGGCAAATATGCTTCCACTGAACTTCTCTCTCTCTCCCCCTCCATCTCTCCCTCTCTTTCTCTCTCCCTCCCTCCAACTTTGAATCCATTTGGAATTCATTGTAGCATGGATTTTTTTTTTTTTTTACTTTTGTATCTGCTTATCCATTTATCCTAACATTATGTATTGAGTTATAGTTCAAAAATGTCCCACGCCCTTTCTCAACCAGGGCCACAAACATGATGCACTTGAGTCCTTTCAAGACTCCCAGTTGGCTCCCCTCAGCAGTGGGACTTTTGTTACCTCTTGCACTCAACATGTGGAAGGACCCTGTCACTTTTCTACTTAAACCCCTTTGAATGGTTTCCCCTGCACTCAGAATGAAATCCAAATTTCTTAAAATGCTAACAACTAGGGTGGTTGTGCCACTCATCTCCCTAATAATGTAGCTACTGATGGTAAAAGAAAGACCATTAAAAACAACACTGGAATTGCAATCTACAGTGGGCAAGCTCAGCTTCAAGCTCTTGCCTGTCCTCTAGCACACAGTGCTGTCTGGCCAATGGTTCTCATGTTGTAGCTTTAAGCTTTAAAACTTTTTCTTAAGACCCCATGCACTATTCAACTCTTACCTTTACCTAAAGCATTTACTCTTCACCCCCCATCCATTATGGACTTCTCTGCCCTTTTCTGACTACCTCAGGCTCACCCAACAAGCCACTTCTTCAACCCAAATATGCATTTCTGTCATTCCACATCATCTGCTGTGTTTCTTTGCTCAGTGGGCACCTCTCCTACCACCTTCATTATTTGACAAAATTGTACCTCTACAAGTTATCCCAGAGGTTTTGGCACAGAACAGGCATTAAACAGATTTCTAACAAACAATAGTAGAAGATGTATCTCATTTCATTTGCAAATTACCAAAGATAAGCTATAAAACTTACCCAAGAAAAACGTGGCAAACCTTTGAGGTCTATATATTATTCTATAGTGACCATATATTTGATTTCATGGATCTTAGGATGTTTTAGAAAAAAAGTCTTACTATTCTGGCCGTATATCTCAGATTTCTCCTCAGTACTGTCAATTAGTTGAAATAGAAGAGCACTTTAAAATTAAGTAATTCCCTTCATCCACTAAAAACATGTTTACATTATATCAGAATTGCATGTTGTATTCTATTTATCTTGCTTCCCAAGATAATAGAATTAAGTGGGTATATTCTTAAAAACCTGAAATTTGTTTTAAAGATATGCGTTTTAAAAGAATTACCCATAAAAGTAACAGCCAAGGGGGGATAATTATATAAATTCCTTTAAGGAGACTAATGTCAAATGTTAGGACAACAACAGAAGAAAGATACTCTCTTCACAAGCCTGACTGGCTGCAGAGTGAGGCTGCTCACTGAAACACCATGTCTGGCTCCCATCCATTCTCCATGTGCACTTCTTGAAAATGTATCTTTCATGCTAACCTTACATCCAGTTTTTGGTCATACTGAATATAAACATAAAACTAAAGAGATTATCCACCTAACATATTTTTCACATGATGAAGTTTAATTACTCAATCACTATGACATCCACAGATATTCACTATGCCATTGAATAACACTTGACTTTTGAACCAAATGTCATTTTCTGCCCAGAACAACGTCTGTATTATTACCTAACTTTACTTCAAACACTATTGGCTGGAATAGCAAATCTTTTATTTTTCATCTGAAACATTGCTTATTTTTCATCTGGAACATTGCTTTCAACTTCTTAGTATTTCTGAGCCAAGACAACAGTCTCACTGGTGAATTTAACCGGCTTCACACAGCTCACCACACCCTGCCACGGCTGACAGTGATTTCTGAAAGGCAGAATAAAAACCAAGGGAAGCACAGTCTGTCTGCAAACCTCCTTCCTGAAGCACCTTAACATCAAGCAACATTTGCTCCAATCTTATCCTGCTTTGGAGTTAAAATTTAACTTCCTGAGCTACTACAAATCAATTAGGCTGCCAGGAGGTGGTGGTGCTCGCCTTTAATCCCAGCACTCGGGAGGCAGAGGCAGGCGGATCTCTGTGAGTTCAGAGCCAGCCTGGTCTACAGAGTGAGGTCCAGGATAGGCTTCAAAGCTACACAGAGAAACCACAAAGCAAAAACCAGTAACAAAAAAACCTCAATTAGGCTTGTGGTACCATTTATAGTTCATTTATTCATTATAGTCATATATTCGTACATTTTCTCTAGGGATTAGACATTATAGTTTATGCATATTTTACTTAAACTCTGATTGAACACTGTGGTTTTTTTTTTTTAATGTAAATGTAAGAGTAAGTAGAGCATGGATTCAAAAGACATTTTTTCCCAGAAAAGTAAAATCAGGGTTTTCACCTTGGAGAAGGTGATCAAAATACATTCTTTGAAATTCTCAAAGAATTAATAAAAATATTTAAAAAGAAAAAGAATCTCACTCAATATCCTATCATCATCAGTAATCATCACAAAATAACCCACAATTTAATTACAGAATTCAGATGAGACAATGGTAATAGTGTTGTATCCAAAATGAATACATTACAGGACTTTACATGATCAGATTTTGTGCATTCACAACCTTAGAACAAGAGAAGGCCAACTGCAAATCACCTTCTCTACACATCCCACCTGGAGGACGGACTAGTGATAAAATTGAGAAGTAATGAAGACATGAGAAGCGAGGTCTGGCCACAGATGCGCCCTAATTATTCTATACTTGAAAACTGCTCTGCTCTGTAACACAGAATGGCATCATGAAACATGTACCAGGAAGAACAAGGAGTGGGAGGTGCTAAGAAGGGGGGGCTAGAAATGCTGAAGTCCTCCTGTAGAGAAGCACCTGTCTGCAGTTAGCCGAGGAGAATGAATAACCCAGGCCCAAGTCACCACAGGGTCTGTGTTCTGCACACACTACAATGGAAACCTGACTTTCAAAGTAAATCAAACTTTTTAAATCTGATTCTGGCTTGCAGTTTTGGTTCTGTACAGCTAAGCACTTCATCATAATCTTTAAGAAGCTCAGTTCTGTTTCCTTGAAAATGGTTTGGGGTGCCAGGACACTGCACACTGTTTGAATGAACACTGACTTGAAGATGCAAGCATGAAGCAACTCGCCCACAAGCCCCGTGAGCAGCCTGTGAGAAGGCGTACACTACAGGCGCAGCATGCTCTCACCTTCACGTTGGGTTTTGACAGCAGTTTCAGCAGCTCTCTGAACTCACTGTTTAGCGGCTTGTTCTGTAGCTCCTCAGCCAGCTGCAGGGGAGATTACACCAATGTGAATAACAGTTCACAGAATACCATAAGGTTCGCTGTGTCACAACTGAATGCGGTCTGCTCAAAGCCATTGCTTTCCAGAGCTATAGGATAAGTCAGCACAAAATGAAGCAGGCCATCAACCTGTGCTCTTCCTTCCAGGCCCACAGCAGACCAGATCCAAGCCTAGGCTGAGTACAACTGGAGTAATCCCATCAGCCATTTCACCTTCTGACTTTCTGCCAGGAGAGCAAATCCCAGCACTTCATCTGCGTGAATGGTCTTCTGCACACAGACAAAGGGCCATTTGTAAAAGGGCCTGGATCAGCTTTGACAGTGTACAAAAAAGCAAAAAAGACAGCTTCTGAATGAGGTGGTGAAATCCTCAGGACTTCCAGAAACCCTCAGTAGTTGTACTGTTTGGAGCTGGGGTAAAAAGAACTCGAATGCTCCTAACAGAGTCAACAGCCTGCAGCTTTTACTATGTTTCTGAACACGGTCTCCAAAGTCTGTTGAATATGAGCCAAGTTCATCATGAACCCATAACAGTTCGGCAACTGCTCTGGGACCAACAATGCCAGCGCTACTTTATTGTAATGATCAAGAATGTCTACTTGTTGGTCCAAAAGAAACGACTGGAATTTTGAACCTGACTCTTGCTATCCTCTAAGAGGTGTGTAATGTTCTCACCATAAAGAAGTATGTTGAGGTGGCAAACAAGCTAACTACCTTGAGTTGATCCTTATGAAATGTGTATGTGTGTGCAAAGGTACTAAACCACCTCCCATAAATATATACAATTACCATTTGACAATTACAAACCAGGTAAAATGTCAAAAGAGAACTTCCCAGCAAGATTCCTAGTCAATTTTAGGCTATAAGGCACACACACACACACACACACACACACACACACACGCACGCACGCACGCACGCACGCACGCACGCACAACTTGATTCAAATAGGACAAAAAAGATTAGAATTATGAAATATATGGTGTGTTATTAGAATTTATATTCAATATCTCTTTTTAGAACACAGCATGGAACTGCTATTGTCCCCACGATGCAACGATCAGTCAGGACAAAGTGGCTCCTGTTTATGGAAGAGGTACAATATATAGACTATACAGAAGGTGAAGTCAGAGGAAATTAATATATCCATCCATTACTCTATAAAATAGACTTCAATATACAAAATTTTAACATAATTTTTACCCTATAAAAACAGCTCTTCACTCATTATTTACATGTGTTTTAACATTTAGATCTGCTACTCCAGTGAATTAAACATCATGGTTTATCATAATTTCGCTGATTCTAATGTGTGTTTATTTCTGGAGATTCTGAATCTGTGGCATCTCACCTGTTTGTGACACACTCTGGTGCTGAGGAATATCCCCTGCTTTAGATTCTTTTAATTGGAGAGAAGGCTCAGCAGTTAAGAGTGTCGATTGCTCTTCTAGAGACCTGAGTTTGGTTTCCCAGCACCCTATCAGGCAGCTCACTACCTCTTGTAACTCCAGCTCAGGGGATCAGATACCCTCTTCTGGTCTGCGCGCGCGCACACACACACACACACACACACACACACACACACACACACACACACACACACACAGAGATGAACAACACACACACAAATAAAAAAAAATGGTAAAAATAAATCTTTAAAAGATGTTATAATTTGCTATTAATTTCCAAACAGGTATTCTCAAGCCCTCTCTACACTCTGTTTTCAAGCTGGTTCTTAAGGCTCTTTCAAGTTTCAACTGCAGCAGCTCATACCACTCCCTTTATACCTTTATTCACCTTTTAAAAGTCTGGGTTCTGTGCTGTACGTTTCTTTATAGGACACGTGCTAAAACACACTCATGTCTGCAGAGAAACACAAAAGGACATGCCTGGGGCTACTCAGCCTCAACTTGGGTGTTAGTGAAAGGGGCTTTATTTTACATATTAGGATATAAAATCAACTTTGGAAGATGGTCGATCTGTTTATTATATAGGGGCCCTGGCATTCCGCAACACTGAATGATAGTTTGTTTTACACAACGCACAACTCAAGAGCAACGAAGAAGCTAGAGCAATCCCTCCCGCACACCAGCACACTCCTGTCTAGCTCTGCGCCCTTACAGTTTATCCAGGTGTGTTCCCAATTCATCCAAGGCTTAAAGTTAACAGTAAGAATCAGCAAGTGAGCTCTCCTTCCCCAGGCTTAAAATAAAATTATAGCGACAGGAAATTAACTACTCCATCAATGCCAAATGCTTCTAAAATTTATTTTTTGGTTATGAATGTAATTTGGAATGGTCTAATATCCATAAATCATTACTATACTCCATAATCCATTTTAAAAAACAATTCTGCCTTTTATGGGTTTAATATGCCCAATTCCTACCCTAGTATCTGTCATTTTTGGTACTGTCAGCAATGTAACTATCTCATTTGTCTTCATTTCTCCAAAGCATTCCCCTTGTGTGACTTTCACAGAACACTGATGCCAGGCAGTTTTTCTCTGTATAGAATTTGAAGCCTACAATTTCTATTACATAGTCACCAAGGCATAATACCAGGGTAGCTTTATGCATAATTTTAGAAAAAGAAAGTAGATAGAAATCCACACAGCATCAGCAAAGCTTGGCGATGACAGGGATTTGGGAAACATTTGTGACTTCTAGTTTTCACTCAAAGGAACACACACATCTGTCTACAAAGGGGTGGGTCCCACGTGGGGCAGGTACGTGGCTAATACATCCTACAAACCCAGAAAGGCACACTTACATCATCAGCCAAGGCTGCCGCACCATGGAGAATGGGCACCGGGCTCTGCTTCTCATAGTAGAGAAGTTTTTCATGAATCTGGAAGAAAATGAGAGCAGTATGAGTTCACCTGCTGGCAAAGCATCCTAGATACTTAAACACTTTCACTACTGTGAACAGAATCGGGTCTCTCCATCATTTTAAAGTCACGTGCTCAAATCCACCTGGAAGACGGCAGAGATGTACGTGTAATCCATCAACTACTACCAAGGGTCAAACAGCAAAGGCATCCTCAAACAGGGTACACAAAGCACTAATCCTTGGTTTCTCCTCCCACTCTTTGTGAGCTACACTGCCTCGAGGTTTCAAGTATCATTTGTAGCATACACTCCCACAAAACAACAACAAAAATCAATTATGAACAAAGCAAAGCAATTCTGACTGGTCTGCAGAAGCTGCAAACAGAGTGTGGGGAGGAGGAGGGGGTGGGTGCGGGGAGCAGGCTCTGGGGCTGAGGAAGCCAGGCACACATGCACACTACACAGGGGTACCAACAACTTGCCACCCCTCCGCCATTGTTGTCACTCCCCAAGTTCAAATCTCAAAGACACTAAGGGATTTCTCTTGACCTCAGACATCTTCACTATTTGGGTTGAATATAACCATGCCCTATACTGTAAAATAAGTAAGTAATATTACAAAATAAAGCCAACTCTGCTTCCATTCTTATCATCATGATCCAAGAAATGTATGCAAGAATGTATGTTAATGCAGTATTAGGCAAACTGAGTTTCTTTAAAAAATATTTGGGCTGGAGAGATGGCTCAGTAGTTAAGAATGCATAATGCTCTTGCAGCAGACTCAAGTTCAAATCCCAGCACCCATGAGGCATCTCACAACCACCTATGACTCCAGCTCCAACACCTCTGCCTTCAGGGTCCTGACACACGCACACACTGACAGACACGCATATACCCACACAAACAGACACAAAATGATATGATGAATCTTTCAAAATGCATTGTGGTATAGTAAGGGAAACCTTCTTTGACACACGTGCGAAGTGACCATCCTCATTTATGTTTTCTTCTTGGTGTGGAAAATACTTCAGAGCTTACTTCAGAGTTAAGAAAACTATCCTCTCCCTTGTCTGAAAAACAATGTCTCACCATCTCCTGTTAATTATACTCAAAGCTAGCCAACCCCTTGTAGGAGTCTGCAAGAGAGATTTTATTTTGATTGGCTAGACGCTCCTGCTGAGAGCAGATCCTATTACTTTTGGCAACTTGGTATAAAAGGTAGGACACCAGGGAAAGGCTTGGGACAGTTATGGCATTACCAGAATGAGCAGAGAAAATGGTTTTTTAATTTAATATCTTGGAACCTTTATGTTTAAATATTTATCACAAATTGCAAAGAATGTAAGAAATGAAATCATTTTTAGGAAACCATGACATTATGATTTGAAACAAAACCGAGGCATGCTGAAAGCTAAATTTATTAGCACTTGGGCTGCTCTGTCACATCCAACTGCAAGAAACTACCTTAGACTAGTATAAAAATCACCTAGTTTTACTACAGTTGCTTTTTCAGAATGCTTCCTGCTAGAGTAAGAGGCTCACACTTAGGAGGTACATTTTGTTCATTATTTGATTTTTTTATTTTACATATCAATCCCAGTTCCCTCTCCCTCCCATCCTCCCAAGCCCCCCACTAGCCCCCATCCCATCCCTCATCCACTCTCCAAGAAGGGTGAGGCCTTCCATGAGAGATCATCAAAATCTGTCAAGTCATTTGGGATAGGGTCTTGGCCTTCCCTCCTGTTTCTAGGCTAAGGGAGTATCCCTCCATGGGGAATGGGCTCCTGAAGTTTATTCATACACTAGGGATACATCCTGGTTCTAATGCCAGACACCCCATAGACTGACTGCCCAATCCTTCTAGCTGACACCCATGTTCAGGGGGCCTGGATTTGTCCTATCTTGGTTCCCTAGCTGTCAGACTGAGGTCCATGAGTTCCCACTTGCTCAGGTTAGCTGTTTCTGTGGGTTTCCCCAGCGTGGTCTTGACTCCTTTGCTCATCACTCCTCCCTCTCTGTAACTGCATTCCAGGAGTTTCACTCAGAGCTTTGTTGTGGATCTCTGCTTCTGCTTCCATCAGCTACTGGATGAAGGCACTAGGATGGCATATTAAGGTAGTCATCATTCTCATTATAGGGGGAGGGCATTTTAGGGAGCCTCTCACTATTGCTTAGATTCCTAGTTGGGGTCATCCTTGTGCATCTCTGTACCATTCCCTAGTGCCAGATATCTCTTTAAACCTACAATGGCTCTTTCTACTATGTGTCCCTTTTCTTGCTCTCCTCTACTCATCATTCAATCTTCCTAATCAAGCCGGGCCTGGGTGGCACATACCTTTAATCCCAGCACTCGGGAGGCAGAGGCAGGCAGATCTCTGTGAGTTTGAGTCCAGCCCGGTCTACAGAGTGAGTGCCAGGACAGACTCCTAAGTAATACAGAGAAACAAAAATCTTCCTGATGCCTCATGTTTTCCTCCCCCTCCTCTTTCTCCTATCTCCGTCTCCCCTCCCCTCATGCTCCCAATTTGTTCAGGAGCTCTTGTCCCTTTCCCCTTCACCAGGGGACAGTGTATGCCTCTCTTACGGTCCTAGCTTCTCTGGAGGTGTGGACTGTATTCTGGTAAGCCTTTGCTTTCTGTCTACTATCCGTATATGAGTGAGTACATATCATGTTCATCTTTCTGTGACTGGATTACCTCACTTAGGATGGTTTCTTCTAGGTCCATCCATTTGCCTTCAAATTTCAAGATTCCATTTATTTTATTTTATTTATTTGTTTATTTATTTTACACTGAGTAGTACTCCATTGTGCAAATATACCACATTTTTTGTATCTATTCTTTGGTTGAGGAGCATCTAGGTTGCTTCTAGGTTCTGGCTATTACAAATAATGCTGCTACGAACATAGTTGAACAGATGTCCTTGTTGTATGAATGTGTATCCTTTTGGTATAGGCCTAAGAGTGGAATTGCTGGATCTTATGATAGACTGATTCCCATTTTCCTGAAGAACCATCATACTGATTTCCAAAGTGGCTGAACAAGTTTGCACTCCCACCAGCAATGGAGAAGAGTTCCCCTTTCTCCATATCCTCTCCAGCATAAACTGTCCTTGGTGTTTTTTATTTTAGCCATTCTGATGGGTGTAAGATAGTATCTCAGAGTTGTTTTGATTTGTATTTCCCTGATGGCTAAAGATGTTGAGCACTTTCTTAAGTGTCTTTCAGCCATTTTGGATTCCTCAATTGAGAAGTCTCTATTCAGTTCTGTGCCCCACTTTTTAATGGGTTTATTTGGTATTTTGGTGACTAGTTTCTTGAATTCTTTGTATATTTTGAAGATCAGCCCTGTCAGACGTAGGGATGGTAAAGCTCTTTTCCCAGTCCTTGGGCTGCCATTTGGTCTTGTTGACTAGGTTCTTTGCCTTACAGAAGCTTCTCAGTTTGAGGAGGTCCTATTTATTAACTGTCGATCTCAGTGTCTGTGCTACTGGTGTTATAATCAGGAAGCAGTCTCCTGTACCAATTCATTCAAGGGTACCTCCCATTTTCTCTTCTAAGAGATTCAGTGTGGTTAAATTTATGTTGAGGTCTTTGTGATGCATCTGAACTTAAGTTTTGTGCATGTAGATATGGGTCTATCTGCAGTCTTCTACATTCAGCATCCATTATGCCAGCACCATTTGTTGAAGATGCTTTCTTTTTTTCCATTGTATACTTTTAGCTGCTTTGTGAAAAATCAGGGTCTTCAATTCGATTCCATTGGTCTACCTGTCTGTTTTTGCGCCAATACCAAGCTGTTTTCATTACTATAGCAGAGCTTGAAGTCAGGGATGGTGATGTTTCCAGAAGTTCCCTTATTCTACAGGGTTGTTTTGGCTATCCTGTGGGGGTTTTTTTTTGTTTGTTTGTTTGTTTGTTTTTTGTTTTTCCATATAAAGTTGAGTATTGTCCTTTCAAGGTCAGTGAAGAATTATGCTGGGATTGTGATGGGGAGTGCACTGAATCTGTAGATTGCTTTTGGCAAGACTAACATTTTTACTGTGTTGATCCTACCTATCTAAGAGCATGGGAGATCTTTCCATTTTCTGGTATCTTCTTTAGGAGGTACATTTTTTAATCCCAGCACTTAGTAGGATCACAAGTTCAAGGTCATTTTCAGCTATACAGAATGTTTGAGGACATTACCTTCTCAAACAAACAAAAAAAAATGTTCATTTTTATATGCAACTAATTTTGAAAGAGAGCTATAGTCACCTTCAAATGGAAATCTGGTGTCAATGTCTGATGGTAGTCACACATGTAATCTGAAATGAAGCTTCAATCGTCAAACTATACGTGGAAGTAAGTAAGTAGTTGCCATGCAGACATTGAAGCTAAACTCCTCCATGGTTGCACAGTGACATTTAAACTGCAGGAGTGGTACTGCCACCAGAGTCATCTGGATGTGATTAAATAAGCCATACCTGGGACCTTTCACCTGGTTTCTCTTTACTAAAACACTGACTCTTGCTCAGGTCATGTTTAGGCAGCCACGTTGATGAGACTTCATGGTTAGCTTCTGACTCTTCTGAACAAGGATGACAGACAGCAATAGGAAGACTAAAGTGGACAGGGGTGGAAGCTCACAAAGTCTCAACCCTGCACAAAGAACCACAGGCAACCAATGAATGCCAGGAGCAAGAGAAAGTCCTCCCCAGGGGAGAGCACACCAACTGGTTATCCAATGCCAAACAGTCAGCCATGAAAACCATATACTTAATAGTAACATTACACAGACTGAGCAGGTGAGATATATATATATATATACATATATATATATATATATATATATATATTTTTTTTTTTTTTTAAGAATAAAAACACCACCACTACCATCACCACCAACAACAACAACAATTAAAGAAAAAGGGCCTTGAATGTGAAAGAGAGCAAAGAAGGGTTTAGATGGAGGAAATGAAAGGGGGAAATGTTATTATAATCTTAATTTTTTAATTGTTTAAAAAAAGAAACACCGGTAC